GTTGTTTTGCTTGATTTTCTCCTCTACCAAAGAGGATCTGTGTATTGAAATCCTTTATGTTGTTTGATGGATTACACAGATAGATACGATTTGTTACCTGTATTATGACTGTTGAATATTGATGATATGATTTTGTTGATGTTGTTTGAACTTATGAACATCATATGATTTTTCAGCTGCAAAAGAATTAACCAAAAAATTATGAGTTAAATTATTTGAATAATATTATTTATAAAATTATTGGAGATGGTTAGAGACTTGGGTGGTGATGTATAATGGTTCAAACCAATGATGGAGGGGTGATTGTGATTTGTAATTAGGTGGCAGAGAGAGGTCTGTGTAATTTAAACTTGTGGGGATGTCTCCATCTTGTCAAAAGCCTCAATAGATAGGTCAGTGTAATTTACCCAATTATTTAAAAAAAAAAATCTTGGACTATATCATATTTCTTAATTTTTTACATGTAGTAGTAACAAAACTAGATTCAGTGTACTTTACCTAATTATTTAAAAAAATTCTTGGACTATATCATATTTCTTAATTTTTGCATATAGTAGTAACGAAACTAGATTCAGTTTTCAGCTTTTTGTTTGTGGATTTGGATGTATTTTCTAGTTTAGAGCTTGTGACAGCCATATATCGATTATCTTCTACTAAAATATTTGTTGATTGCCAAATGGAATTCTAAGAAAAATGCTGCTAGTTTAGCTTACATATGGACTATTTCTAAACAGAAAATAAATGCACAAATGGATATTCAATCAACATTTCATTTCCTCATTTCTCCCAATTAATTATCCCAATTAATTAAACAATGTAATTAGGCCATTTTCCATAATTACCATTTCAACCCTTAGGTCCCATTTTCATCAATGCTCTGCGGTCTAGTTGAAGAAGAAGCAGCTTTCTGACTCCCACCCTTCTGCGGGCAAAGGTCAACACCGATACAATCACATAAATTATATATTTATGTCAACGACTTACAAGTTCCAATGAGTTGCAAAACAGAAAAGTACCTCTCACTACTGATGGAGCCGGTACTAAGTCCTGCGTGGTAACAGCATACACGCGCCCCGTAGGCCCCTGGTCTACTTGCTCACCTCTCGGAGCAAAAGACTGCTGCACAGACTGGGATGACGAAGCTCCCGGATTGGCCCTCGAGGCCTGCACAGACTGAGCTGGCTGAAAACCCTGCGTCTGCCTAGAACCAGACGCTC